TATGTATGAGTTCTGTGGATAGTTGTGTAACACTGCGTTGAAGTTCCTCGGGGGTCATTGCGTTTACTGGTTTGGATGGAAGAATTGAAGCAAGTTGTGATTTGTAGATTTGTCTGTATGAGTTCTCGGGGGAGCAGCGGTGTCCATGGTGGCGTATGTGGGCAGGCTGGTTACCGCGGTAACTGTTAAAAGGCTGATATACAGTCCAGTTAAAAGTGACAGTAATCCTGTTGTGGCACAACCTGTTAAAATCCGCTTAATCCATCAGTTGTTACGAATAAAAACAGTAATAAAAGCTTAGTTTAAAAAATAAATCCAAAAAGTGTGCAGTTCAAAAAAGGCTCCAAACACTTTAAGATTTTGGGCACAACAGACATGGTAATTTGCTGCATTATATAAGTATTCAAGTTTATGAGTACAAAGGTGGTTAGAGAAATTTGTCATCTGAATTTCTGGTCTATCCTTCAACAACGGTGTCTTCTGCAGCAGTGTTTTACAGGGTGTGCACGGCTTTTGACAGCTGCAGCAGTGTTCAGATCTATAACGAACAGGTTTGATATCCCGGCTATCACACTTCAGCAGCTATGAGCTCAGGTGGTTAGAAAAGTGGATAGTTTGCAGTGAGGGGTTTTACAGCCTTAAAACAATTTGCTGCTACTTTGCCGATTCCTCTTATTGCGGGTTATTTTTAGAACGCGAGTCCTGCGTGAAACAAGGGTCCACTGTAGTGCATTTCAGGTCACACACAGCAACTTACTTTTTTTTTTAAGTATGTCTTTATTAATTCTATAAAGGGTTATGTCAGAAGCAAGACGCCGAATCAAATTCTCAACTATCACCATCCGTTCACTCACTCATTACATTCAGAGCTATTGTACATGTTCAGAGCTATTTTACATGTGGCCGAGTGGATAGCAGTCTCGTTTCTCAGCAAGAAGGTCCTGGGTTCGAATCTCGGTCAGAACAGGGCCTTTCTGAGTGCAGTTTGCATGTTCTCCCCGTGTCTGGGTAGGTTTCCAACGGGTGCTCCAGTTTCACATACCACTAAAAACATGTACAATAGATCTGGCATGGCACCTCGCTCTCATCTCTGTCTCGAGTGGGAGACAAATGCTCACAACAATTGTTAAGCGCTTTGTGACTCTGGTCTGTGAAAGGCGCTGTATAAATAAAGACGGGGAGAACATGCAAACTCCACACAGAGTGTGGAATCAAACTCAGGACCTTCTTGCTGTGAAGCACAAGTGCACATCACTGTGCCGCCACATTATAGACATTATGATTGCATATTTCTTCAAGTAAAACACCATGGGATATACCGAGATTTGCGCTTTATTTCTTCATGCTTGAGTGGAAAACAGGATTGCCACAAATTATTTAATGTTTTGTGTTTTCCAACGTTCACACTGTATCACCAAAACATTTTCAATTTCTCTGAACATGTTTTGAGCATGCTGTTCTAAACCAGCTGTGATTCCTCATAAATCCACACTCCGCTTGTTGTTTAATGTTGAGCGAAA